TATCGGTATCGGATCGGAAGTCCAAAAACAATATCGGTATCGGATTGGAAGTGCAAAAACCTGGATCGGGACATCTCTACTATTGAAATCTGATTTTTTTTTACATTTTTGCAAAAAAAGTCCTAACTGGATTAGCCCTACTACCTCCTTTACAGCTTCAGTGAAGGATTGATGTCATTGTAAATATGAACAAAGTGCTTTATATACCAAAAAAAGAAGCACAAATAATGATACCCCAGCAGGATGTGGTAATCTATCAGAAAGAGTTACTGGAGTACACATTTTAACAAGTCCTTTAATGTGACTATGCTGCTTTACACTAAATAATCCTCTAAGTTTATACGTGAAACTTTTAGATCGTAGTTGTAAATGTCCATTTAATGTTGGCGTTATATGCAGCTAAGGACGCATCTAGCTCCATTTATTTACAGTAGAGTAAATCATGCAGGGAAGGTGACGCTGCTACACAATAGAATCCATTTCAAAGCCACTGTAGGACATTTTTATGTACTATCCAAACAGAAAGCAACAAGATGAATGCCAGCTGTCTGTGAGCCCAAGGTAGAAAAATGACAATGGATCCCTGATGTGGCAAGATGACAGATAGGCAGAGCAGACGGAGAGATAGAGCTTTATAAAGGTTATTCATACAAGGAGACACACAAAAGGCTTTAATGCTGTTCTCTGCTGTAGGGTTATCTGTCATCTCTGTTTATAGGACAATAGGGAGTGCTTATTGTAGACTGCTGTCTCTGTCTGACTGTCTGTGTGTGTGTGAGTGTGAGTGTGTGTGTGAGTGTGTACTCACTGCCTCCTGATCCCTCTGCGTCTCTAAGAAAGATGAAAACTCCACCAGTCGTAGTTTGGTGGTGCCGATGGATCGCCCCTGCCATGCTGGCTCTCTGTGGGTTTGGGCAGCTGCAGCAGGCTCATAGGCTGAAGAACACACCATCAAGGAAAAAGAAGGAAAAACACATAATCAAAAACTGTTTAGTGCTTCCTGCCATGGAAGGGATTCTGTTCCTCTAGTAGAGGGAAGATGCTCAGGTTCAAACTACAGACATGTCTCCCTCCATGTCTCCTCCCTCCCTCCCTCCCTCCCTCCCTCAGGTTTGCTTTTGCTAAAAAGTTGAGGTTTCTCATTACTGTCACCAATAGGGGGGTCCTGAAACAACGCCTTCATTACTGATGAGATGACGAAACGGCAGCTTTCAGTATTCAAAAATACAGATGTTAACGTGATATAATATCAGCATGAATCAGAAATGTTTACTTCTTATTTTGCATTGTGCAATATTAGAAAAGTTTTCATCAGTTATATTTCTCAAATAGAGAACAATAGTCGATAACATCAGGTACGAGAAAAACTGGCCCATATCTTATCAATCAAGTAAAGTGGGTAGAGGGCGTGCAGGTGGAACAGTAGTTAGC